TGTAATACAATCTGTACAATATAACTATGCTGACCGTTTGTTTCATTTCTCCGATCTCTATTGGTCCACGCTCCGGGCGGTGACAATAAGAAGCGGATTTTAAGTTGTTAGAGCAATGTCAACAGCTATATATTTGCCATAAATTGACGCTTGGACCATTGTACCCGTTAAGGAGCGCCACTCGAGGGAGGCGTCAAGGAGTTATAGCTTGGAGGGCCGAATACACTCCTCAAAGCCTAGTATTAAAGGGATATGACAGCTCATTAAATAGAGTTTGTAGTGGCTATAAGAGTCATTAATGAACATTCAGATTTTCGAAAGATATAAAGACAGTCATCATTACAAGACATTAATTATTATTACGCCGACTTGATGTCTTCGGCGAACCCTTGAGGGTGCTTAATCCCGAGCCGTGAACGCTCGGACATTAGTGTCTGGCATCGGGCAGAGGTATTTAATGATCGGAGATTGGGTCATGAATGCACGGCGTTGCCCAAGCAAGGGTCCACTCGTCTGAAGGGATAAGCAGATTTGATGAGATAACACTCATTATGCTTAGATACGAGTGCAAGCCATTATAAATGGTGGGATGAGACTCATATATCCTTCGATCATTACTAGTTCAAATATAAATATTCTTAAAAAAGTTGAACAAAAGTACGTAATCTAAAACCAGAAAATACACTATACTAATAACTCAAATGCCGACTAACTTGAGTTTCGGAAGGGATTAATCGAGTGTTCACCCGGCCCCTTTTCTTAACTATTTGATTATTTTAGGTTCATCATTCAGCGGATCACTATCTCAACATATTGTAAGAATTCACCTGTGCACTAATTATTTCAACTAATTTTCAATAGCTGAAGTTTTTTTGAGTTAGAGTCGGAGGAAAATTGTAAAATTTGATCGGAGTCAAAGTTGAAGGCTTTTTCGAAAAAAAACTCTAACTCTGACTTTTATTAATAATTAATTTATATAAATTATAAATTACATACCATATTATTATTAATATTAAAATCCAGCCAATTTTTTTTTTTTTGGTCATTAAAACCCAACACCTTCAAAGGACAACTTACATGATATGTTATTGTTAATTTTAAAACCCTATTCATTCACTATTTGGATTCTTTCGTCTCCACCCTCCATTGGAGAATACCACTTCTAGCTATGGGTGGAAGTATCCAGTCCCTTCGACTTCGAAGACTTCGGCTTCTTTGTCTCAATCTCTACGTTTGTCTCTCATATTGAAGTTTTTGAGGGTCTCAAATTTCGAAGCTCTCACGGTCTCAGTTGTGATTGAGACCCAATATAGTTTTAGGCATGGGGAAGGGGAGGGGGGTATCGATTTGGATAGAGAGAGAGATTCATACCTGGATGAAGACAAGCTCTGACGAAGACGATGAAATCACAGCACAACAAGACCAACCATAAAATTTGGCACAAGAAAACATAGTGAGAGAGCCTCGCTCGCCAGAAGTAGCGAGTGAAAATGGGAGAAAGGAAAATGACTAGAGAGATAGAGAGTAATTTGAAGCGAAATTTTTGAGATTGACTCTTCAAAATAACTAAAAAATTACTTTTCTTGAGCACATTGGAGTTGCTCTTATGCAGTTATGATGATAAATCAACTGCATGAAGACTTCAAAATGATAAAATTTACCTTTTGAAACACACATTCATTAAACAACTTTTATGTATCTCTACAGGTGTTCGAGACTATAATACCCAAAAAAAAATTTGTACGGTACCATTTATTAAATTTTTAAGTATATATATTATTTTTTAGGTAGAACTTATCAAAGAGTGCACTGACCTTTTAGCATTATTATCAGGGGTCAGACCTCCACTCGTAGTGACAGAATTTGTATTTCGAGGGATAGCACAGCCTCACATCTATAAACGAGTGAAAAGGGCGTAGCATGGCTTGCTCCTCTCACCCTTGTCGTGTATGCCCAGAGAGCCTCTAGGAGGCGGTCATGTTACTTTTTTTGTTAGAAAACTAAGCGACTAGTTTACTGTTAAGAGGTAACGAAGAGGACAGATAGGTTAGTGCTAGCTAGTGTTAGAGAGCTTGTTGGATGAGAGCTACCATCTTCTGGGTTCACTTATTATACTTTTAGATGGAGCTTATTATTTTTAGGATAGAACTTACCATGTCAATATTTTTTTTCACTTTTCCGATAATAGTAGTGAAAAGCGAAATATTGGTACCATAGTATTTCCTTTCTACACAGATATTGTTAATTCTTAGGAGTAGTTCAGTGATTGAGACTGACTTTTGATAATTCAAAGATCTCATGTTCAAAAGAGAGTCATCCTTGTTCTTTATAAACATGCTCTACTCCAGTCTATGTCATGGTAGTCACCGCTAAACTCCAGCGAGTAGTTGACACAAATCTAAACACCCTATAAAAAAAAAAAAAAATCTAACTACATGTTGCACCAATTATACAGGGCAGATGTTGGTGTCAGGCATTTGTAGGTGGAGTCTCATCTGAGGGTATGGATGTGGAGGCAGAGCCCACCCTCTTCCCTCTCTCACCTCTGCTATTCTCAGCAAACTTCAAGTTTGCCTGGTGAAAACCTCTCTGTTTTTCTGTTGAATTCCATTCGGACACGTAGTAGTCCTGCTCTGTTGTGGCCATAGATGATGATGGACCACAAAACATGCCTCCCCATTGTGGGAAGTATATAAAAAATAATGGGATTGTACAGCATATCATCATCACACCCATCAGAGTAATCCCTGTCTCTGTTGAGTATCTTGAACCTCTGAAGAAAATTACTTGGGTTAGAACTGCTCCTACATTTCCACCACCTCCTGTCATGCCAGAAACCACACCCAATGACCTGAAGAACAAAATGCATTGAAAGGAATGATATATAAGTACTCTTTGTAAACCTGAAATTTGAAGAGATGGAGTTTTCTTGTAGTATTTCATTATAGCACTAAGAAGAATTAACTCTTATTTGAACCGAGTCGGAATTAAACTCGAGCCGGTCGATTAGATTATTAACCCTAATCTCAGATTTTGATCTCCAAAGTGAGGGACTTCTGGGGTTCTTAATGGACGTCTTGAACTCCAGTAAAAACACTGATGATTGATTGTGCCGTATCTTGGAATTTGTAAACTCTGCATGCATAAGATTGGATTTTAGTTCATTAACTAATTAAAGACACCATTCTTGGGTTGGCCATATATGCTCTGCCTGCATTAAATGGTGTATTTCATCCTGCAAGACAGACAACTCTGCCTAAAACAGAACCCAATGCATTGTATGTGTACGTCAGCTACATAGCACATTTGATTCTCACTTTTTATGTTAAAAGATTAAATTTTTTATAATTTAGACATTAATGTATCAAAAATATTATTATTTTATCTTTTTTTTAATTTCTATTATTTTTTCGTCAAAAATTAATTCTTTAACACTGACGAAAAAACTAATAAAATGTCACATGATATATCGAAGGTGTAATATAAAAATTTAATGTTTAATGGTTAAAAATTTTCAGGGTACAAATTAAAATTTGTCCTAAAAAAGGGAACTTTTGTGAAATTAAGCAGAAAATATGGGATTGTGGAGAATGTACCTTCGCGAAACAAAAGGAACAACCCCAAACGTAAGGCCACAAGCCGCCTGAACAAACGCAGAGAACACAAGCATAACAGCAATGGAGGCACTTAAAGTTCCCACTTTCCCCAGCAAAATACAAAACAGACCTCCAAAGGTCTGCACTATCCACAAGGTCCAAAGCCTACCCCTCATCCCAAACCTCCTAGCCACAACATGTGAGAGAAACCCACCTCCAGGTCTCGAAAATATATTCGCTGATGGGACATTTTTGAAATATTTTGAGATGAAGACACGTGTCTTCGGTGTCATTAATCCTTTTTACCGAGATCACATATCCATCGGGTCACAAGTCTCCTCTCCCCCCGAGTTACTGATCATGGAGATCGAGTGGCATCCAATACGTTTTTATGTACCAACACATACCCTCAGTCTGATATGGTACATCGGTCGTTAGGTCTCCCCTCTCGGATTCAAGATGTACCTATTCCTCGGCTCCGAGATGTACCCCCTTCATCCAAGATAAAGTCCTCTGCTCCAGCAGAGGCTATTGATACACTGGTCACTAGCCTAGGCTAGGCTAGGTTAGCTATCATGACCTCGTCTTACACAATTGGTGTCAGAAGACACAGGAAGGCAGGGGCCACAGCAAATGGGAGATGGACGCGTGGCATATTGTGTCACATCAGAGACAGAAAGACTGCATGACCTTGCTGACACGCGACTTGGAAAAACAAGTATTTAATTACATCATTCTCTTGATGAGACTGCATTCAATGCGGTAACACTCGGAAATGAAAGGCAATAAATGTCTCTAAGGCTGGACATTTATTGCATCCTCCCCGAGAGGAGCTCATTGAACCGTCGGCAGGGCGATGACACAATCTTGATTGCTCGGGGTCCCGAGCAGTTAAAAGAGAAGACATTCCTCATAGGAATCAGTGCGCACGTTGCCTATATCTAATGATCACCTACTGATCACACTGACAACAATCATGAGTATTTGAGGTATCAATACTCTTCACTAAAGGCAAAGGAAAGGGGGTAAAAACTTTTACTACAAATTATACTCAGTGTTTTTTTTTTCTCTCTCTCAAAAACTGACTTGATCGTCGGAGGGGATACGCCGGAAAACACTCCGGCGCCCTTCTAACTTGTTTTTCTTTGTTCCAGGAACTTTTCTTCAGCCTTACTGGAGCGTTCCTTTGATCCGCGAGGGTCTCCTATTACCGTTGCAGGTTACCACTGGATCTCACAAGTTATTCCAAGCAGCGTGGTTGACCACTCAACTGACTCGCTCGAGTTCACCAAGAGAGAGATCTGTTTTCTTTTTTATATTGTGCAAGATCTAGCACGCACATTCGGTACTCCAAAATTAGCTCACCAAAAAAAAAATTTGTTCTCATTTTTATATTGTGCAAGATCAAGCACGCACATTCGGCGCTCCAAAACTGGCTGCAACAATTCCAGCACTGTGAAGATTCACATTGAATATGTCATAAAAGTACTGTGCAATTATGTTGTCCACTGTTAATTCAACCCCAAAACAATACCCATAAGTCAATGTCAAAATCCAGCCTCTGTAATTCGTGATTGCATGCCGGAGAACCTGAAAAAAGTAATCTTTTTGCTTGTAGCCGGATTTTTGGAGCCCGGAAATGTTCCCGTCTGGCAGGTCTTGCTCGAGGAAGAAAACTGCATATGCCGATAAGGTCTGGAACAGAGCAGGAATGAAGAATGCGATTCTCCGGGCTGTGAATTTTGTTGCACCAATGTCACGGATGAGAAAGAAAACAAGGGGCGTGATGAGCTGGGTTGCCCCGCCGCCGAGGTTTCCCCAGCCGCCGGAGACACAGTTAGCAGTGCCGACAACTTGAGCAGAGAACATGGAGCTCATCCAGAATTGGGTTGAAACGAAAGTGGCTAGAGAGAAGCCAGTGAAGAAACGGTCTAGGAGGAAGGTGGCCGGAGTGGTGGCTATGGCGCTGCAGTAGATGGCGGGTGTGGTGAGGAGAATAAGAGAGGCAGACGCGAGACGAGGACCGAATAAGTCACAGGCGGTTCCCATGGCGATTCGAGCGAGAACAGCGCCGGAAACCGCCGAAATTCCGGAGTTTCCGATATCGGTGGCGGTGAGGTTGAGGTTGTCGCGGATTATAGGGAGGAGTGGCGAAACAGCGAAGGTGGAAACGAAGCATGAAAAGAATGAAATCCAAGAGAGGTGAAATGCTCTCATATGAGGTGCTGCGATTGAGAATATTCTGAATTCTGTTGCCTTGTGTTCAGAGTCCACCGGAAGATCAAACTTTCTTTGGTCAGAATTGATTAAAGTCTCCGACATCATCATCTCCATTTTTGTTTCTTTGGATTGAACTGTATAGAACAGCAAGAATATTGAAAACCCTTATCACTTTGAAGTGAACAGAGATTGGTAAAGCTTTGAATCTCTCTCTCAGACACACAACTAGTGCAATGTTCCCTTCTTTTTGATGCAGAGAATGATAAGGAAACAATCAGCTGCTTTTGTCTGAACACCGAGGAGTTGTTTGGAAGTGATATTTAAGAAAAGAGAGATTCTAATAGAGAATATATAACAGTTCTTAATAGATGAATAAAATGTAAGATTAAATAAGAAATAAAAATGACATCAATTTTAGTTAAGTGTTTGTTAAATGCGATCTTAAAAATAGGATAATAAGTATCAAGTTCAGTATAATATTTGATTAGGTAATTTATTTAAAGGTATTTACAATAAGTAGACTAATGCCCTCAGTCATCTATATAAATGATGTGCATCTTTTACGGGATGTCCATATGGGGGAAGTCGAGTCATTGTAAAAATGTTAAGGGTTTGTTTATTACGAAGTCTGGATGTCTATTTAATTTTTATTAAAATAATTAAAAAAGAATTATCCCATGAATTTTTATTAGATTGAGGGTAAAATTATAAAATAATGATGTAATACACATAGACTGAATTGTAATACCACCATTCTTGGTGGTATTAAAATTAGATCATATGTAGTTAATCTTATGTATAATACCAAGTGATTTTCACATCCAAATGTAGTATAAACTAGTATTAAAGCGTTTTAATCAAATATGACTTTTTAATACCCCTTATATATAACAACCAAACGACCCCTAAATGGGATGGTCTAGTGGGGATACCAGTCAAACTTTTCACTTTGAGGTTCGAGATTCGAGTTTTAGAGTTCACATTGAAGCTTGGTAGATGACCGTCATACTAGTCTAACTAGGTTCAGTCCCTAAAAGAGTAACAAACGCATTCAGGAGTCTCATAATTTCATTAATGAAGGTCTATTAATGTGATCTTTAGGTGTTCCCCTTTACTCTCACTTATTTTTTCCCAAGCAAGAAAAAAAAAAGTGCTTTTGTTTGAATTTTTATAGGGCACAAGTCTCGTGAGAAAAGAGTTAAAAGTAAATTATACATATAATCCTCAAATTACGATTCTTGTATCAATTAAATTCTTGAATTTTTTTTTGAGTCAATTGAGTCCCTGAACTCTTATTATATCAATTGAGTCTTTTTGTCCGCCTATCTTAAATTTTCTAATAAAAACTGGTAAAGTGTGTCACTCACATGACATAAATGTTTAAAATAAAGGATAAATTGCATCGTTAGTCCTTGATATTTGATACTTGTTGTACTTTTTTTATTAAAATTTTAATTTCATCAATTTCATCCTCTATATTAATACGTGGATTCACTTTGGTCCTTACCCTTAATTATCGTCCAAAAAATTGACGAAAAAGAACACGTGAGCAACATGTGAGAAAGTCTTAAGGGTAAGGGAGTCATTTAACCTTGTGTGTGTGTGTGTGTGTGGATCTGATTCCTCATTCCCATTGCCGAAACCTGCTTGAACACAACCCTTCCCATGCCTCCTCTACCCAACACCAATGCCACAAGCATGGCTCCACCACCAAACATCATTTAAATAGTCAATTTCTCCTCTCTCTATCTCTTTCTGTCTTCACACAGATTTTTTATTTTGATATCAATTTCAACATGAAAACAGTAATGGTGGGGCACCGATTGAGAAAGATAGAGATTTATAGAGAAATTCACAATTAGAATTCAATTGAGTAATACCCAATTCATACTTGATGGGACCAAAACCTAGAATCGAAACTGATGGAGAAAAATAGAAATTGAAACCTGTTGGAAACTTTGCAAATTTAGCAAAATGAAGGATTTTTGCATAGAATCGAAGGCTCATAGACACAAAGATATAACACCAAAGCATATTGGGGGGACTCTAGGTGACTCTACAGCCCCCGAGTCGACACATGGAATAATGAAGCCGTTGGGATGTCCAAAGGACGCCGAGGAAGTAAGCTGAAGTATGGTGACACTGAGCAGCCAGGTACGACAGCTGGTATTGTATTTAATGCGATGTTATCCCTCATTTATGGCGGAATGAGTGAAAGTGATAAGGCAAATAAATGCGAGTCTGTCAGCACCTGCCCCTGGGAGTCTAAGTCTACTGTCATGATGGCTAAGCATTAATGGCTGATGCACCAAAATGACAAGATCGGCTCCCCTGAGGAACTGTTCCCCCCGAGTATTCAATGCTTAGTTAATGTCGAATGCCGATCTGGGGGATTTGGGTACTCGGAGAGTGGCATGAATGCTCGGCATTTGGTCAAGCATTTACCCCATTTTCCTAATATTAAATAGGAGACGTGAGTAGAAAACACTCATTACACGAGAAATGATGTGTCAGATGTAAAATGTTCAGATGAGACTGGAGATCTTTGACAATCATTGTTAGTTCAGGTATAAATACTCCTCAAAAAAATAGACAAAGGTACGCAAACTTGAATCAGAAAAATAATCTATTGTGCAAAACTCTTCGACTTTATACTGACTTAAACTTCGGAGGAGATTAGTCGGACGCTCGCCTGACCCCCTTTTTTCTGACCCTGTTGTTTAAGGTTCGCTAGTTTGGAGATTGTTGTCTCATAATATTGTAAGAATTATCCTGTGCACATATCCTCACAAAACAATAATAATAAAGAAGTACCTCAACTCATAGTCATGGAAGCAGATGGAAGTAGATCGAAGCTACAATGAGAGAGATGGAAGTTACTCTTATTGGACTGAGAGAATTTCGAGTCTCTAAAGCTTTCGCTGCTAAAAGCTACTCGTTGCGAAGTCACTGTTGGAAGCTTCCTCACCAAGGCTTTCGTTGCGAAGTTGTGATTTATGCTTCATTTGGTAGAAAATAAGAATGATATATTTTTCTTCCTTTGTGTTTGGTAAGATGGCTAAAAAATAAAAATAATTTATTTATTTTTTTTGTGCTAGCTAAAATTAAGAGTGACAATCGAATTATATCGTGTCATATTTGTGTTAAACTATTACGAGTTTGTGTCGAACATTAGTCAAACATAATTTAACTCATTTAATTAATTATGTCATGTCGAGTTGACATATTTATTTTCGTATCGTGTTTGTGCTCGTATTCGTATTGACCTACATAAATTTTGAATAAAAAATTTAATGTTAATATTCTATTTTCGCTTAATGGAAACCATGTTAATATTTTTTCTATAAACTAAAAATTAACTTAAATAATAATAATAAGTAAAAATATATTTTTGTATAATAATTATGTCAGTGTTTAATAAATAGTTACAAATAATTAACATTTTATGTTTATAATATTAATTAAACATGTTAGTTTCGTGTTATCATACAAACGAGAAAATAGAAAAAGTGTTTATTTTTAAATAAATAAGTTGATGATGTCAATTTTGAGTTTGACATGTTGAACTAAATATGAGCCTTTTATATTTCTTATTCGCGTGTCAGGTCATTTTCAAATTCGTATCGAGTTATAATCAAGTTTGTGTCATAAAATTCGTGTCAACTTCGAATCGTGTCATCACTCCTAACTAATATGGAAAAAATGTATTTTTTTTTTGAATTTTGAATTTGAATTTGAATTTTTAATTTTTAAAATTTTTTAAAAATATATATATCTAATTACATATTTTATCATTGTATTTTTATATAAAATTAATGTATACATAATATATGTATATATAAAAAGATATATAGACAATTAAGATATATCTCAACACAAATAATTAGTTTTTCATCCAATTTTGGCGCAATTAATTTTGATAAGTTGGAAAGAAAGTTAATTCATCCACTTTTTCATTCTTCCTATATTCTTTTCTTATCAAACATAATATTTTATTTATCTCTCTAATTTTTCATCATACCAAACGGAGCATTAAAGATTTGGGTGTGGCTATAGAATCATGGACTGAGAGAGGGAGAGAGAGACGATTTCGCCTCTACCAATTTTGGGTGGAGGCATGGAGCAATAGAAGGCGACGAAGAATTTAAGGTTTGGAGTTTTCTCTTTTAAATTTTTATGTTTTAAGATTTTATATTTATACATAAAATGTAGTTTATTATTTAAAAGGGGTTCAAAATCAGATGAGTCATGTTAGTATCAAATATTTTGAACAAAATTGTTATCTATGAAAGTTCCTCAACTCTTTAAAAAATAAGGACACGTTTGATAGACGTATTAAATATTAAATTGTATTATTTTTTATTTAATAAAATCGATATTATGGATGTCTTTTAATACCATTAAGAGATGTGGCATTATAATCCAACTCAAACGTATTATTCTACACATTTATTATTATAATTCCCTAAATGATAAAATTAAATTGTTATTAATATAACAAATACTAATTAAGGGTATTTTTATTAATTCAACATTAATACGATGAAATAATTCTCTAATTAATCAATCGATTTTATTAAATAATTATTATTCAACATTTATATTGTGTATTGCTAAACACTAGATATAATTATGTATTATTTTAATATTATATTTAATCTTGTTTTTTATTCATTTATATTGTATTAGACTGTATTATTTTATTCAATCCATCTATTTTTAATACAACAACCAAATGAGCCACAAATAGTTCAACAATACCCGACTAAATATTAAAATTTTGTCACATCATTTTTTTAATAAATATTGAATGTCATTTATAATTTTTAGGGTACTTGAGATCGTCTTAATAATTTTAACATCAACCTAAGTACCCTTAAAATTTAGAACTTAAAAAAGGTTATTATTTTAACTCTAAAAGTTTGAAAAAAACCTAAAAAAAATTTAAAAAATTATTATAGATAAACTCAAAAACTTGTATCTAAACATGCCAAATATATAAATATTGAACTCCAAGGGGTATGTCAAGTAGTAATAGGGACGAATTATAAACTCAGATGTCCTGAATTTGAATTTTAGCCATATATAATTTATTTCTTATAAATTTTTTAGTC